CAGGTTCTTCCACGTCAGGTGCCACTGCCCCCAATCCCCCTGTCCCCCGCACTCAGCAACTGTCTGCTTCCACCTTCATCGCCTATTTACATGTCTGCTCCCCACCCGATGGTCACTCTTTGAGGACAGGAGTGTCTTTTCATCCTGCATCCTCCACATTTCTGAGTCACAATAAGCCTGTCGGTCAATGTACTTTTGAACGAAGCATTTTTAACATTTTAACTCCTTCAGCCGACGATGAAAACATGTGGAAAAGGTCAGACAGTTTAAATATCTGACACTAGTTAAAGGAAAGTCTAGATACACAGCGAGCTGCCTGAATTAGGTACTTCCTAATGCGCTGCTAACTCGAGTGTGGTCCACAGACCAGCAGGAGGAGCCGCTTCACCCAAGAGCCTTTAATGCACATCCCAAGCCCCACCGCAGAGCCCCGAATCAGAACTTACATTATAACAAGACCCCCAGGTGACACGCACGCTCAAGTTTGAGAAGCGTTTACCTGGGATATATGACCAGTACGATGCCTTAAAAAGCATTCACGACAGAGAAAAAACAAGGCCACGGGCGATGGGATTCACGCAGGGGTCGGCGGAGAAAGTTTTAGAGCTCTCTCAGGACAGAGTCGCTTAGCGGTAAGTTCACAGGTGGGAAACTCACTTACACTAGCTCCCTGGGAACCCTTTCTAGATGCTTCTTCATGCTCCTTCCTGTTTAAAGACACAGCTGCTCTTAATAATTGTCTTTTCTCCTTGGTGCAAAGAGAGTATTTATCGTCAGCACGCTGACACTTGCAGGAGTTTCAGTTTTCTCCACTGGAAATGTGGTGATTCAAAGGATATTGCTGACACCTTTATAAGAAATCCAGCGACTCCAAGCTATGCAAATTTAATTATTTCCTCTAATTTTTCGTTCAGGAATCTTTTTCTTTTCCTGAGCTTTGGAGAAGTCTTAGCAATTTTCATATAAAAGAAATACAAGTCAGCAGTGGTTCACTGAACAGGCTGACATGCAATTTCATACGGGCAGAGGCGCTGTGTCTTTAATCTAATTTGTGCTCTCAATTCTTAGCTAATGTATCTAGGAATTCCGGTGTACGCATTTACAAGGAGACATCTATAATGCAGAGTCCAGCTCTCTGCAATTCACTGAAACATGGCTAAAAAATTAGCCTGGGTTTTTGCAGCTGCCCTATAATGTGATAAATCTCTGTATACTCACAGATGTAGAAATATTCCCGGCCTGGCCTGAATTCAAATCCTAGAGAAAATGGTGTGAAGAGCTGGAATTTTTCAGAGAACTTGAGTGGTCCATTTGGAGAGTGAGGCCGGTTACATTCCCATCTCTTGAACCCTTTGGAAGTGTGGTCGCAGGCACTGTAGCCATCAAAGTTCACCATGTAGAGGACATACCGCTCAGTCTTATCTTCCGGGACAGAGTCCTCATAGTGAGGGCAGAACACATCCAGGTAGTCGTTGATACAGACGTCAATGTGGTAGTCACCCCTCTGGAATCTGTTGGGAGAAGAAGAAGAAGATGGGATAATTCATACAGGAAAGGTTTCCTGCTTGGAATCAGTGGTTGAGCCCTTTAATAGTGCTCGAGCTTAAGATTTATTATAGTAAGTTTTTATTTCATGCCACATGACTTGAGGCATGGTTTGAAATGTTGCTGTTCCAAATCTAAGTAACAAGCCGTTTTTAGAGGAATTCTATTATATTTGCTTCAAAATACCCTGTCAGTGGAGCATTTCCCTTTCATTTTAAGTACTGAAGGTACCGATTCATTGTTTTCCTTTTGTCCTTAAAATCACACATACTGAAGCAAAGTCTTCATATTTCTAAATCAGTGTTTAAGTTAATCATGTTTTTGAATAAATGAGTAAGAAATTTAAAGAATACATGAATTGTTTTTGTTATAATTGAGACTATTCTTAATTTCCAATGCAAATGTGGAGAATTAGAATCATAAAACGGAGAGAATTCGAATCATAAAATTTGAAAGTCAGAAAGAAAATTCCTAGAACAACACTTCCACTTGAGAGGAAGATAAAACCAGAAGGCAGAATGATGAAGCACTGAGCCACTGAGCTAGACCTGGGACAGAGACTTCACATCCTCGTTAGGCATCTCCCTTGGTGCGTCTGCTTTTGTCACAAACCCCTTTTAACCAATCTCCGTTTTGCTGCCCTATCCCTCTCCCTATTAAGAAAACTGAAACCTTCCAAGTAGAATGACTTTCCTCTCCATTTCTTTCAATTTCATACGTTGTGTTCTAAGGCTGGACGGATGAGTAAGGAAAGTTAACAGGCCAGACGAAAATTGCAAAACCGTGGCCACTGCATCCTGAAATAGTGAAAATGTAGGCACATGCACATGCACACACCACACTGCTTCAATGCTTATCTGACAGAAAGTTTTGCTTATTTGTTTTAACTAATGTGCTTTTTCCCCTGTCCACAGAACAGTTTTTCCCAGGACCCAGTGATGTGTGAAACAGGAATTGTTACATACACAACTTTCTAAAATCAGGGTGGAAAAGCTGACAAAATCCCTTTGTTTTTAGCAGGTAAGGAAATTCTTCTCTGAGTCCTTAGAAAGGTCAAGATAAAACTATGTTAGTGCTGAAATACGACGCCCATAAAGTCATATAATTTTCAAGTCAGACAGCCTCAGCGAGAACACTTCCCAGTGACAGTGAGCTAGTCTATTCCATTTTTGGACATCTCTAAATGTTAGCAAGTTTCTTCTTATACCGAGCATCAATCTGCTTCTGTGTAATTCCCATCCAGTGATCCTACTTCTGCTGCTTCAAATTACCAAGAGCAAATCTAATTCCTCTTCTACCAGGTAGCCCATAAAACATGTGGACATGTCAGCTGTGTCTCTTGGTAGCCTCCCTTCTCCAGACTTGAAAATCCTGATTCCCTTTGGTTATTTCTGGTACAGTTTCAGGCTCTCCTCATCATTCTAGTTTCCTAGTTCCCCTTAAGATGTAGCACCCAAACATCACAAAGACCTCTGACAGGTTGTGACCAATAATCAGCCCAGCAGAAGAAGTGCTACTGCTTTTGCTCTGGATGCTAAATATTCATTGACCAAGCCAAGACTCCCTTCTGAAATAAACCATGATAACAGTGGAAGTACTACTGATTTTGACAGAGTAGACCTAGATTTAAGGACTTGATCTGCTGCTGGTTGAGTAGGAGAGTCGTAAGTCTCCTGAGCCTCAGTTTCCTAACATGTAAAGTGGAATGATAATGAGAATCTTCCTTGCCGACCTCACACGGCTGCTTCAAGCCTCAGAGGAGGAAATGTATGAAAAAATACACGTGCCTGTAAAGCACTGTTACTGTGATCAGGATACAGTGAAGCACTTAAAATTAAAATTAGTAATTAACAAGATATTAATTTTTAAACCACAGCAGTAAGAGCCTACAACAGAAATAAAAATAATCCCTATGTTTCCCTTTTTAGAAATCTCAGAAGAAAGGAAATCACATAAAAATCCTAAATTCTATCCTCAAATAGCAAATGATCCCCAGAAATTCCACTTGCCCCATGCTTTTCAAAAGCTGCGTGCTCATTTATCCAAGAGAAATAACAAAAGATGATCAGATCACTTTTCAGTTCGAGGATCTCAAAATATATAACCATTTGTAAAAACAAAAAACCCTTGGAAGTATTTATTTCTTTACATTTACAATGATCACGAAATCAGGTTTGCTTTTTTCTTCATTACTGGCAGACAACGATTTGTCAAGATGCAAGGAAAGCCTGTGTTGCTTTTAAAAGATTTCTGAACATCAAGGTAACATCGCTGCCAAAGTACAAAGAAAAGACACTGCAACGTTCAGATAAAAGGGTGCTGGGGTATGAATCATCGGCACTTGGAGGGGCTGACAGCTCTGGATGAGAGCCAGACAAGGACTGCAGCAGAAGCCAGTGCCCAGATGTGCTCTGTATTATTATATTATTATTATAGATTTTAAAGACATTCAAGGGGGAAGTTTTCCCTCTTCCCAAATGTCACTCATTTTAGCTCCTTCCAGCACTTGATGCTGCTTAAAAGTGAAAATAAAAAAAACTGCCGCTGTCCGGTCCCATTCTGTTATTGCTTTATTTTACGAACTGTCATAGTTTTTGGCACCTCTACTTTTATCCCTGTTAATGTTGCTGTAATTTTAATAAAGCAAACCAGGAGCCTGAAGACTCGATTTACATTGCGTTGGCTAGTTAGTTACCTTTTCTGGTGATGCTTTACTGTGTGGGGTGGTAAATGGATCACTGAGGAGCCAATTTTAAAACATCAGATTGCACTAGCAATTAGTACTTATACCCTTCTATCCACGTGACAAATAATGATGATTTACTGGAGAATCAACTTACACTCTGTTTCAGATATTTAATTTGAGTAAGTTTACTAATGTAAATTTCAAAGCCTGGACAGTGTAAACGTAAAAACAATGATGAATTGGAGCTCATAAAAGGTGTCTGTATAGTGTAGCCAAGGACAATCCAAAGAAAGGTTCAGGGTTAGATATTCTAAGACTATCCCAAATTATGCTTCCTGGCTACAAAGTAGCACTGAACCATTCTTTTCTGGCCTTACTGTGAAGAAGTACATATATATGGCTAATATTATTGAGTGGTTCTTATATTACATTCATTATCTCAATTTAATCTCCATCGCAGTCCCACAGGACACTCTTAGTATCCCCGGGTAAAGATGAGGAAATTGAGATTAAGAAGTCAAGCAACGTGCCCCATGTTACACAACTAGTAAAAGATGGAGGCAGAATTCAAAGTCAAGCAGTCTCACCTCAGAACTGAGATTTAATTACTAAAGTCAGGTTCTTAGGTCTGCTATATTTTCCCCCAGAGGGATGATTCTCATTTAAAAACTCTTTTCCTTCCAATTTTATTGAGATATAATTGACATATATATAGCACTGTATACATTTTTCGGGGAGGAGGTAATTAGGTTTTATTTATTTATTTATATGGAGGCACTGGGGATTGAACCCAGGACCTTGTGCTTCCTAGGCACATACTCTACCACAAAGCTATCCCTCCCCATCAATTCTCATTTTTGGTGGGGTTTCAGTTCTCTCCTTCCTTCACTGATGCAACAAATATCTGCCATGTCCAGGATCTGCTATACTATGGCTTTACATACACTGCTGCATAAAATCCTTCTTGGGTAGTTATAATTAGTTTCATTTTATCAGTGAGGAAATGACATTCAGAGAAATTGTTACCCTCTCAGTTCAACTGTTTTCCTACAGGAAATAAGCGGCAGAGTCAGGACTTTTAACCCCAGTCTGATATGATTCTGAAGCATATACTCTTTCCCCCTAACCATGATGGCTCAAAGCTTTCCCGGTTGTAATCTCCCCATCCTGTTTACAGTGCTCTTCTAGGAAAGCCTGCTGCAAGGGCTTCAGCCCTGCTCTCCTCCCTACTAGGGTGATCCAAAACTCCTGCCCAGAAAACTGAAGGGTGCGTCAGCGTTTAGAAGAAGCCTCAGATCGCAGGGTTAGCTCCCTGATTCATGACCTTCATTCCAGACTTTCACAGGATTAAGTGCTGTTAGACACAATAGCCATTCACTTAAAAGGATTTTTTTTTCCATCACGAAACTGCTTTCATGAACTTTAGCTCATATTAAGTGAGCAAATTCACCTCTAAGAAGAGTGATTCCACATGCCAATATTTACAAATGTCATGGGTAGCTCACCACTGCTTTACCACACTTGTACATTTCTTGGGAAATGTTCTTGTAAATGTGTCCTCTTTACTCTTTATCTTTAATTCCGTCCATTCTCTCCATGGTTCTCTACCTCTCTGAAACCACTGCATATTATGAACTGTAAGAATTTCTGGCTGCATACCAACAAGCCAACAATAATTACAATACAATCTCTACTAAATTATCACAGTGGTTTACAATGTAAAAGCACGCATGGTTACCACACTTAGAAAAGTGATTGTGTTGGAGTAAAATGATTACTGCCTTGCCTGTGTTCTCACAATACAAGTCTCAAGTGCCAGGAAACACCTCATACGCATAGAGTGATGGCCCTTGTTCTCCACTGGGTTGCAACAGTTACTCAGGCCAATGTTCCACACAATATGTAATAGTTTATATATACTCTTTTATGGCAAGAACACACTGTATACATTTATCAACATTTGGCAGGAGACTGGTTCAGAATGTTATGTATATTATAAAAGGGTCATTTTAGTTGATTAAGAAGAATAAATTTCAGCACAGCAACTAGTTCTTTGTAATCAACACAACTACCCCAAATGAATTATACACTTGATTGTTTTTGATGACCCACAGGCTCCCTGGAGAGTTGGATAAAAGGCACATTTCGGGGCTACTGATAGCAAAAGTGACAGCTGAAGGTGGGATGTGAGCTAGAAAGTCAACATGCAGACTGTGTGTGTGCGTCAGTCTTCAGTGTTGACCTCGTGACATTCCACAGCCAAACACAGTTTTTATTATAAATTTAAAACCATTATTAATATCTCTCTCCATATTTCACCTGCCTGGATAAAGTGAATCATGACTTGAGCCTCAGAATTCAAATGAAATAACAACAACAGAAGTGAGGTTAAGAGTCGACAGTCTCTCTTCTCATTGAGTTATCAACAACGCACCCCCAAGTTTCTACTGAGATAGGAACCAAAATGTTGTTTCAAGATTAGAGTTAACCGGAACCAAAAGACTTTGTCCCTCCTAACTCAATACTTTATTTCCAAACTTGAGTCCCCCCACTGGGGACATCTAGTACTTGAATACTCAGCCCTTCACCTCAAGCAGAAGTTCTCAACTCACTCTGACCTTGGCTCCTCTTTGCCAGGGCAAGGAGACATCACCTAGCCTTCTATCTCAGTGGACGGCTTTCATTTCATTGACCTTACTTCCTCCTCTACCATATGGTCTTGGGTTGTGGACACTGACAGCCGTGAGGCTGAGGCCACAGGACACACAGGCAGTGCCTTGGATTTCAGGCTGCAGAGAAGCACCACCACCAGCACCATTAGCATCTTTGTCTGAGTTCATCTTCAGCCACTTTCCCCTGCAGTCTTCCTTCTCTCATTCCATCCTCATTGGCAAAAGCCAAAATGCATTTCATTTGAGTAGCTGGAAAAGGAAGGGTACGGTGCCTATTTAAATCGTTCTAAATTGGCCTTTAGCATATGTTGCTGGCACAGCAGAGAGCCTGCTTCCAGGGAAATATGTACTGAGGTATTTTATCAAGCAGTTCCTGAGTGAAATTTCTTCTCTCCATAAATATAGAAATTGCATTACTGAAAGGAGACGGAGTAGTGACTAGAGGTTAGGAAGCTGTGAGACACTTTTATCCCCCTTTCATGTAATGTTTTAAAGGATTCAATAATGAAAATGTTATTTCTCATGAGCTGGATAGTTGATTATTACGTTTTAAATGTATTTTAATCTGTCAAAGAGGTGATTGTTTTAATATTCCTATTTGAACAGAACTACAGTGTCACTTCTTTAATTACAAGGCAACTTAATACATTACAGTCTGAAATTGAAATGGAAAAGAAGGATATGATTTATGGTCAAAGATTAAGCAAATTTATCAGCTCAGGGTTCCTCCCAAATTTTAAACTAAATCTAGAGTGAACATGTCTTGGCTGCACAGTCTTTCAATTCTATTATGGATTTAAAGGCTAATTTCAGAATATGATGTCTCTTTTTAACCAGAATAATTTCTCATCTGTCCTGAAGGATGTAATGGGCCCAGCAACAGACAGGAGATTTGGTTTATAAATATGTTTTGTGAAGAGATGGGCAGGACGGCAGGCTCTGTTGCATAACACGTCTCTTCTTGTCTCCTGTTACTCCTTTCAGCACAGAATGCAAGCCTTATGGCTTTCGGATCCTAAATCTGAAGATGCTCTTTTTTTGGTTTTGTTTTTCTGCAGAGGTTAAAGTAAGAAATACAAACAGCAAAGCAAACTTGGGGAAGATAGATCATATTAACACTACTGGGGGCTGAAGAAAGATTTGTTTGGCGGATTTAAATGTTCCTTCTGTCTCACAGGCTGAAACGTGTCAACCTTTCAAATGTATGGCTAATTGAAGTTCATTTTCAGTTCTGAGTCAATCAGAGTCATAGACAGTTTTGCTGTTACCAGGCCAGTTCTTAAGGCTGAATGAGGTATAGAACATGATGACCCAAACACATCATTTCAAGCAGTCCAATCCGGCTCTTCCAGGCTCTAGAACATACCAGTAACACCTCAAATTCCCACAGAAGTGAAGATTTACAAGTTAAAAAAAAAATCTACCCAAAATGGACTGCAGAGAGGTTTCCCACATTTTCTTTCGCACTTGAAATGCTGTAGGCTGCAGTGCACGCTCTGACAAAATATTCAGAACCCAGAGTTGGTGCTCTGTGTACCCATTAATAAAAATTCCAATCAAGCTCTTATACATGCAAGCTGGAAGAAAGGAAATAAATGTTTTAGTAATTACAAATTCTGCAGCATGAGAGCCCTGCCTTAAATTCAGTAACTGTGGAAGCTGGGAATAAGACATAATTTACTTGGCCAGATACTGAGAATTTATTTAGCATACTAGCCTGTCCTTTTTTGTTTTCTGTGCGTGTGTGAGAGCATGTGCTTTAAAAGCAAGTGGTTTAAAATCCTCAATTAACACTAACTACTCATATCAAATAGATGGATAGACATCTCAAATAGCTTGCGCTTGTGGCTCTTCTAGTACGAGTCACATCAGGCTGAATGACTTTTTAGAACCAGTGTCTCCCAGGAGTAGTACCTGTTTTAAACACGAGGCCCACAAAAGGTTCTCTCCTCCAGTGTTTTAACTCATTTGCAGTTTGTTTTATTAGCTTGACTGAGGAGCTCCAAAGGAAACAAAGCATTAAATTGGCAGAGCCTAAACAAGACTTTCCTTCAGGAAGGGACTGGGAGCTCTGGGTGACAGTCTAATTGCTTCTAAGCCCCCAAAGAGGCCTCGGGCATGGAGTAAGAATGTGTCAACGTCAACAGGATAAATCAGCCAAAGAATTAACCAGGCAGAGTTCGACAGACCCGACACAGCACAGACCACTGCAAACGGTTTTCACAAAGGGATTAAAATAAAATAAAGAATTACCGCCTGGCAATCAGTGCGTCCTAACACAGGTCACTTCCATGACTCAAAACAGCCTCTTTCTTGACTCCTGCTAGCAAGGAGCTCCCTGACAAAGCTCTCCTCTGTGCCCTAAGTTCTCCAAATTTTTGCATCATGTCAAGCACAGGAACAGAACACCTGCCACATACACACACACAGATCCAAAAGCAGGCGTGGGAAATCAGTGAACAGGTTACCCAGCCACGGTCCTGGGAGAATAGGATTAAACAAATTAATTCCGTTCAGGGGATGTGGGAGTCAATCCAACAAACTGCCACCTGACAAACTGCTCACATACATCTAGCCCTTTGTATCCTGTGGGGATGGAGTCACCCAGCAGAATTCAGGCTATTCCCAGTTTCAAAATTAAGAATAGCCAAAGAGCTATGGTAAATGTCCTTCCTAGTAACCAACTCACATAATGACTTCGTAGTTCTCGAGAACGGATGTACGAGCAGTAAAATGAACATTTGGTATTCTGGCTTGATGATAACCCATTGAAATCATTACCACATAGGTCTGAAATCTGGCCCTGACTTTCCCAAAACTGGGGTGGGGTGTCCGAAATCTATGTGGCATGGAACTAATCTCTACTAGTTTATTGTTAAACAAACAACAACAAGCTGGAAGAAAGGATGTCGGTATTGATGGGTCCCCGTTACGTTTGATCTTCATGGACAAGGGGAAGCAAGTATCTGGCACCGTGAGGGAACAGCAGTAACAGCAGTGTTCCACAAGCTCTAGGACGGAAAGCAGAAATTGTTGCTGTTTCTGTGTAAACTGGCAGGTGGGAAGGCGTTACTTTTACTTGGTTTGGTTAGGGCCTTGTGAGCAGCTGGGATACAAATCTGGAACCAGGAAGGAGGCCATGGTGAGATCTGGAGTCGTGAGAAATGAG